TAGATTTCTACTCTATCAATACTTGCTGGCTTCTTACAATGAATATTCCATAGGGAAATCTCTGAAAAAGTTACACCTGATGTCGTTGCTCCCAACTCCAGGGACACAATCTACCATTGAAGACTCTGTTGCTCACAGGTCCCTAAAGGAGGGTGCTGCTGTGCCTAGGGCATCACATGAGGGGCACTGTTTTCTTGGAAGGCAGAAGGAAGGAAAGGCAAGCAGATTTCATTTTGGTTGTTTGACAACCTCAGCCTGTCCTGATTGGTTAGTTTGCATTTGACAGGAGATTTGGCAAGCATTAGCTAGTCCTCGGAGAAACCATCAGGGTCAGCAAGGTTCCAGATGCCAAAGCCTCAGAATACAGAAAAGACAAGACATGGTTCAAACACCTTCTGGAAACATTTGTCTTGTCAAACGCCCCTGTTCATTGCCTGCCTCGGCAGAATCACACTAGAAAGAGTACCGATCGCTAGACACTGCCAGCTTGCATGCTTGGCCTGTTAGCCATCATGGCCAGGTGTTGACAGAGCCTTCTGTCTATACTTCTGCTTCTAGCCCAGCTTCTCCAGCTGCCTGTGTCCACCTCTGAGCCAGGACCAGCCTGTGAGTGGGCAATGAAATCTCAGGGGGCAACTCCAATGGCCCTGGGTCCTGCAGAAGGGCAGCCATCTGGCTTGGATTTGGTCAGCACCCTGGCCCTGTCCAGCAGCTCCCAAGACATCATCTTAGGTACTGTTACCACCAGCAGCTTGGTTGCACAGTGAGTTTCTCTGTGTTCATTTTGTTTTGTTTTGTTTTGTTTTGTTTTGTTTTGTTTTGAGATACTAGGAGCTGAACCTAGGGGTTTTGCCCTGAGCTATGTCTCTAGCCTTAGCTTTTTATACAACCAACTCCCACAGATTCCATCCCAAAACACCCTGTCACCAAGAGGGCATCTTTTGCACCTCTAAGCAGTTGTTCCCTATAAAGCCCCACAGCCTGTCTGATCACTGACACTCTCATTTAAATGATAATAGAATGCCTGTCAATGCTGTATTTTGTTTTGGTTTTGTATGTTTGTTTTTTTTGAGACAGGGTTTCCCTGTGTAGCTTTGGAGTCTATCCTGGAACTAGCTCTTGTAGACCAGGCTGGTCTCGAACTCACAGAGATCTGCCTGCCTCTGCCTCCAGAGTGCTGGGACTAAAGACATGTGCCACCACTGCCTGGTCACGTTGTAATTTTTAATCTAGAAGTTGGAAATAGAGCAAAATGTATCGCAACCCATAAAGGGAACCCAGTTACAACCTGTATGTATGTGAATAGCTTGGTTAAATTTTCATAACACAAATACTCTGATTTTTTTTTTAAACACCACAATCTGGGGCTAGTCACCCTTCCTAATTTCCAGTGAATGGTTGGCAGAGATCTCTCAACTATTTACTTAATAATTTGTTTAAAAGTATAGTGTTGCAGCTGGGCGACTGCTTGCCTTTTGTTTGTTAGTGTTTCTATGAGAATCATGTGCTACAAGAAAGGATTGTTTCTCCTGCTGGAAGCTGCATGGAGGATTTGGATTTCTGTCCTCTCTGGGCTGCAGGCAACTGGTTTTACAGGCCACCCTAGCTCTGTGGACTGCCATGTCCCCTTTCTGGCCTGCGCTCCGGTTTACCCAGCTGTGCCAGTAGGAAAGGGAACAGCTGGACATAAACAATCACACTGCTCCTGCCAGGTACAAAAGGGTTTGTGTTGCTCTTTTGGGCATTTCTGGCTTCTTAGAGAAAGCAAAATAAAGCAAGTTTATAATGAGCAAAGCCTTATGAACTGTGACCGCTTTTAATCATAAACAGACAGTTTATCCGCTGAAATCACATGGCTCAAGAATCTGCCTGTAGAAGGGCGATCATTGTATTTTCATGAGAGAGAGAGAGAGAGAGAGAGAGAGAGAGAGAGAGAGAGAGAGAGATCACTCACCCTGAGAGGATGAAGGTGCCCATGGTTGAATGCACAGCTCTACTCCTCAAGGGCTTCCTGGCACCAGGGGAAGCCACTGGCCCAGGTCTGCTTGGTGCTGAGTTGGCTGTTGGCTCACAGACAAGAGTCCACAGCATGGCAGGACAAGGACAGAATGGTGGAGATGCCCAGGGACACACCAGGGAAAGTCTGCAGTCTAGAACTGCACCACATCCAGACATGCATGGATGCCTCTGTGACTGAGAAAACTGATTGGCTCTGGAAGGTTGGCTGGGGTGGGATCGGGTGGACATTCGGGAGGGCGTTTTCTCTTTCCTCTGTGGGGTCATTTGCATCTTCCCTCATTACCTGGCAACCAAGACCCCTGTAGGCTGCTTCCTCTGTGCATACCCCTCCAGTTTAGGAGAACCCCAGCTACTAGGCAGCCAGTCCGTGCCCGCCTGGAGAGCTCCCTCTGCTGGCTCTGGCATGGCTGGCCCGGGTCTCAATCCTGGGGAAGACATATCCATCAATCTGACTGCCCACCCACACCAGAGCCACCGTAGGGGCCCACAAAGGGAGCTATTCAGACCCTGCTGGAGCTGGCACCCACACGTTGCTCATTAGCAGTCCATTCTCCTAGGTGCTGCTGTCAGAAATGGCTTCCTGGTGTCTCATTCTGTTTCTCACCTCACTTTGGGCAAGGCCATCTAGGCCTCCCATGACAATCCTGAGGTATTTTAATAGAATTGATATCTAACCCAATTCCCCTCTTCCTGAACCATCCGGAATCTTTTGTTTCCTGGCAAACTTAGTCTCAGACCCCTCTCCATTGTGGAGAGTTCATGGGAACTATAGGTAGGGTGTGACCAGTGTAGCTCAGGGACAGACTGGAGGCAGGGGCACAGCAGTTACATGCAGGAACTCCTAGGTCCAGTACACTTCAAATCCATGTTCAGTTAGCTCACGTCCTGTGTGCTACTAGCTAATCTCATACACTCATTCGCCATCAAACGTTTCATTCCTACTATGAACCAGACATTGCAATGGCTACACCACATAAGACTTGCAGGGTAACTCCACAGCTTACATGTTGACTTCCACCCAGATTTATTATGTCCATTGCTGTTGCCTTCAGGTTGCATGTCCCTAATCCAAAAAAAAAAAAAAATCCTAAATCTTAAATTCTGTAATATCTGATTTTAACTTTGGAACATTTTGGATTTCCAGATTTTGAAATATTTTACATTTTTGGATTTTCGTATTAGAGTGGTCCAACTTGTGAAGTCTTTGAAAATATTCCAAAGTCTTATCAAACCCCAAATCTGAAGTACTTCTCACATCCTGACAAGGGGTGCTGAGCTTGTAAATAGACCATCTGGTATACTGAACTTTGTACTCGGTATGTACTTGAGAACTCCATCAGTGAACATGGCAGGTGGCATTTCTTCATCCTGGGCTTCTCAACAGCCATTTGAACAATCCCTCGAAGAGACTGCCCAGCTATGGCTGAGCTTCCTGGGTTCCATGTCTATTAACACCTTTTGCAGCACAGTGGCCCACCACTGGCCAGCACTTTCAGGAGGCATCATGAGGATCTTACCATGCTGTCTTTTGGTTGATCAAAAACTTCCACATGTCACCTTGTCACACGCCAAGAAATCCAGACACCAAGGCCACCACTTTTGCCAGATGTGCAACCTACTAATTGCCCCGTTGTGTGGCTTAGACACGTCACCCTCCATTGCCTCTCATTGTCCCTAGTTCCCTACTGCACAAAGGACTCTCAGCTGTGCCCCAAGCTCTGCACTCTCTCCTGATTCAAACAGGAGCCTGAGGCTGTCTCGGGCATCTCATGGCAAATGAGCACTTTGTTTCCATCCTGCTCTCGGCAGTGCCTGGTCCTGCCTGAAATGTCTCAGGTCACGAGCTTTTCCTGTGTCCCTTCAGAAGCTCTGTCAGTCTAATAATAGATGGCATTCTTCACAAGGACTTCCTGGTCGTCATTATAAACTGTCCCACACTTGTTTTGAGTTATTATTCCTTCCGGCATCTCTTGTTTTTAAACACTGAACAAATACCACCTCTCCAGGCTGTGCCTGAATATGTGTGTTATGTATATACGATGTATGGTGGAGATGCCTGTTTCACATACATCTTATAACACATGTTATGTACTAGAATATCTACTCAAAGAAGGAATCGTGCTTTAAATTATAAGAAGATTGCTGAGGCCTGCAAGTGTTCTTGCAGAGGAGCGTGTGAACAGCAGGTGTGGCATGGTTTATCTGCTCCATCCCACTCTATAGGTCTCATTAATTCATGGACTGAAACCTGGCCCTGAGTCATCTCAAGCATTCCTTCCAACTCCTCCACAGTGTGCACAGATGATCACTCACGAGTGAGCTCCTGTCTGAGAGCTATCATGTGTACTTATATTAGTGGTTGAAGTTTTTTGCAAAAAATGCTTAGGTCCAGAGGGGTTGTGGACTTCAAATTTTGGAACATTTGCATACACATAAAGAGCTACCTTAAAGTTAGGAGGATGTCTAAACCTGAACTCATTTTATGTCGTTTTGTACAGTACTTTTAATAGGCTTGCATTTTGTGACATGAGGCAGATGCCAAATTTCCTAATTGAGCTGATGTATTGGCACTCAAAAAACTTTTGGATTTTTGAAGCATTTGAAGTTAATATTTTCAGATTAAAGGAGTCTAGCAAGTACTACTACTAGTACTAATAATGGTAATAAATTTTAATTAATCAAAATTTTATTTAAAATTGTTCATACAATATATTTTATCATATTCTTTCTCCCCCTATCTCCCCTCAGATTCTCCACACCTTCCTACCTGTCTAACTTTGTTTTTTTTCCTCAAATAACAGAAAAGAAAAAAGAAAAAAACTGCAAAAGTCTCACAAGAGAAAACAAACAAACAACAAAACATAGAGTCAGGTTTATGTTGACCAATTCTTTCTGGGCATAGGGACTGCCCTGGAGTGTGGCTGATGTACTCCGTGATACTCCATTGGAGAAACATGATTTCCCAGTTTCTATCAGGTACCAAAAACATGGAACTGTTCAAGAATTTTCAATTCTTTCTTGCACAGGTGACATACTAATCTTCTGTGCAGAGGTCCAGTTTTAGTATACATGCTGCCCAAACAAGCATGGCAATAAGGATCTGAACTACTTGAACATACAGCTGTGACTTTAATTCAATGATTAAACTCTTAGACCTACAAAGTTGACACATCTTCTCATTTGTTGCTGAGAATGATTGAGGCTTGGTACGTCCAAGTTTCTTTTATAAAGAAACATCTCACTATGTGGCATCTAGAAAGCCAGTGACATTAGAATTCATCACATTCTCCATTGAGGACCTCCACCCATGGGGAGCCCCCCTGAGTAGACATGTAAGCACGGGGTGTGAAGTATGGAAACAGTTGATCATCTAGGAAGAACACTTCTACCCCTTATGACTGTGTTGGTCGCTTCTCTCTTTGTAACCAAATACAAAGAAGTGACTTAAAGGAGAAGAGTGCGTTTGGGCTTATAGGCTGAAGAAGTTTGATCTGTCATGTGAGGGAGACACAGTGGGTGGCTCAGGGATGGCAGGAGTATATGATGACTGTGTGCTCACATATCAGCAGACAAAACAAGCATGTCTGGGACAGAAAACAGGGCCACGCCATAAACCACACAGTACCCAAAGAGTCTCTTCCTCCTGCTGGGTCCCGTCTCTCAAAGGTTCTACAAGGTTCCTGAACAGTGCTACTATTTATTCAGATGCATGAGTCTGTAGAGATATCTTATATCTGAATCATAACAGCTAAATACAGCCCAGGCTGATTCTGGACAAGAGTGATAATGATTTTAAAGTAGTGCTGGGACAGGCTGGGGAGACACACAGGGATGTGCCATGGCCAAGGTTACTTGGGTTTCAGACTTATTCTTAACATGTATACTCCTTAAACTTTGGCCCTTGCAAAGTGGTGTCCACTGGCTTCACCCTCAGTCCCAGGCCTACCCAGGAGGGTTATCAAATGCCTACTTGAAAGTTGGTTATTTAGTTCATAAGAAAGCCTTGTGGTTCCGGTACTAACTCCATTTTGTAGATAGGAGCAGTCAAGGCTCAAGCCCAGCATTGCATGGTGAATAAGCTCACACACTTGGCATTACTTGATTCTGAGCCTACAATTTGCTTAAAACCATTTGATTTTTTTCTGAACATTAAAACAATTCTTGAGGCAGATGGATGAATCTGGTCAGCCACGAATTAGATACTTACTGGCTTTTTTTGACTTGAAGCCAAATACTTGATTCCACTACAACTCAAGTTTCATAGTTTTAAATTGGGAGAGGGCAACAATAGGACATACATAAATTTATTATAAAGATTAACACAAGAATGACATTAAAATGCTCAGCAAAGTACTTGGCATACGGCAGAGACAGCAAATACCAAATATGTATGCACAATTGTGTGTGTGTGTGTGTGTGTGTGTGTGTGTTTGTGTGTGTGTGTGTGTGTGTGTGTCCAACACACTAAAAGAAGAACAAGACATTCCTTGGATAGAATGTTTCCAAGCCCCCAGATGCCTCAGACATAGGACTGTCCTCGAGGAGCTTGTAATCTGGAGGTTGGACAGGAAAAGGAAAGGCGTGTATGTATGACTGGCATGCACAGAGGTCGTGGGAACAGGAAGGATCTAAGATTGAGGGGGACGGGGAGGTCAAGGGAGGTGACCTGGGAGAGGGGTTAGCAAGGACCAGCCTGAGTTCTCTCTGCAGAAGTAGCACTCACGAGCTGCACTTCAGCCCGAGGCCCTTAGGACGTGGGGGATGAGCAGTGGTAGGAGGAGGAAATGAGTGGAGAGGGACCGGGAAGTGCCAAGCAGTGGGAAGGAAGATGGGCATCCCTGAGCTGTGAGGTGAGCACCCAAGATTTTAGTTGGGAGTGTGAACTGGGCCACATTTGGTCATGAAAATGTATTTTGAAGTGACAGTTTCCTGATCTAGACACAGGATCCTCATACCCTGATTTAGAGAGCACCTCCTAATCGAGTGGTATTTTTGTGTAACCCTCTAAAGCCTCGGAGTGGTGATGACTTAGGGTCTATCTCAGAATCTCCTTTCTAAGGAGAGTCCCAAACGTTAGCACACATCTCGCTGTGTCTCTTTCTAAGAAGAGGGCTTTCCTACACCTGCCTCTACCCATCCACTTCCTATTTTCCCAAGCCTGTTGCCATAGAAATGGGGAAGACCCTCAGTGGTGCTGAAAGCCATTGTAACTTGACTTTTGAATGGTTACTCTGGAGGTCTAGGGCAGCATAGAGCTGGAGGGCCAGTAGATGGTTGCTCCATCCTGCCTGACCAAGGGCTCCAGGCAACTTCGAGCTGAGAGGGAGCTGGTGACTTCTGAGGTGAATTCAGCAAGAAATGCTTGTAAGTCCATCACGAAGGGGTCTCTCTGGTATGGGCTCTCTGGATCTGTTAGTGAGCATGGCTGTGCCTAATGACTCCCTCTCAGGGGTGAAATATGGGACTTTATCACTAGCAGGATCAGGTCATTTCTCAGGTGAAGGGACAAGACTTGGTGAGTTCTATTCTTCCCAGAATGAGCCAGCTCAAGGTTACAGAAGTAGGGGTCTCATTCAATTTTTGCCACCTCAGAAGTTAGAGCAATATCTCTGTACCCACTGAGTTATGAGGTAGCTGACATTAATTTCCCCAGATTCCAGGCCTTATTCTGAGTCACTTCTCTTATCTTCTTTGCTTTGAGGACGATAAAGAATAGAGAATACTTGTATGGTCTCTCCTACCCTGTGTACTGTCTTCCCACCAATTCCTTCCTTCTTGAGACAGGTCTTACCCAGGCTGTTGACAGCTGGTTTCCCTACAGCCTCAGACCTTCCTCCTATCTCCCATCACTAGCTCCATCTATCACATAGGCTTTTCCCATCAGAACTGGCTTCTTCCATCAACCTTGGTCCCTCTCAACCAGGTATGCCTCCTCCACACACTTTCCTTTTCGCACTTTGCTGCTGGTGACCACTTAGTACTTTAGGGCCCCTGACCTATTCTTTGCACACTGCTCTTTGAATACCTGGCCCTGTGTGAGGTGGAGGTGAAAGTGTTTACTTCCTTATAGCACCACCACATGTTCCTCAGAACAACACCTCAGTAGGAAGACAAGGCCTAGAACACTCAACACTATGGGAGGATGTGGGTAGAAGAAACAGCATCACACAGTGAACAAGGCCTATTCAGTCCGTGCCAACATGTGGCTCAGAGTATGCAGCCACCTGTGCTTCTGTGCATTTCTACTGAACACATTCCTCGGAAGTGAATCCTGCTGCTCTCACTTCCTCCCTTCTTCACAAACACATCATCTCGGCCACCTACATGCCTTTTCGTTTCACAGGCCACACACACCGACTATGCTTTTAGTTGTGTCTTCCTAACCATTATCTTGAGAGCCAGTCCTGTAGCCAGCCCCTAAGAAGTCCCTTGGAGGCGTGGGTTCGTATCCCACTTCTGACACCAGATATAGTAGGAAATTACCAATACGGAGTCAGGTAGAAATATAAGGGTATTTAATAGGGAAAAGCCTTACTTACAGAGCGAGCCAGCCAGCCAGTGGTAGTCTGTACAGCAAGAAGCAAAGAGAAAACGAAACCGAAAACGCAGTCCCCCTACTCACTCTGACCACGCCCTCACAAGCCCTCAGGTACTCCTGTAGCCAGCCCCTAAGAAGGCGTGGCTACAGCTTCCCCTACACAGTCCCCTTGTCTATGTCCAGGGGCAGACCAAAGCATTTATTGAGAAGAGAAATTATCCCACTAAGTCAGATCATCGAAACAGAATGAGTTTGGAAGTTTGCTTCGACTCTGTGATCTACTCATCGACACACTATGCTTTTCTTCAGATGACATCCCATGAGGTCCTGGGTGACAATAGCATTTCATCATGCAGGGGGCATCCCTGGTTCCCTCTTCATGCAGCCAGTAATGGCCACTCAGGAGAAGCAAGCCTTCCTATTCTCTGAAGCTTTGGGCTGCTACTGTGCCAAGATCTGCAGACACTTTGCTTTTGGTCACTGATTTTAAAAGTCTTCTGGCTCCATCGTTTTAAATGAGGCAGCTGTGAGTGTTGTAATCATGGTGACATGCCCAATAACTTCCAAGTTTCCTCTTTAAAATATTTCTTCAATTATAACTTGAGTTTATCATTTCATCATCTAATCACTTAGTAGAGAATGCTACATTTGGGTCCCATCATGGATAATCACCCCCCCAAAAAATGGTTTTTATTCCAGTAAATACTGAATTTAAGAAAGTTGGTGAACTTGAAGTTCTTGAAGTCCAAACTCTTGGCAGACTGCGCAGTGGTGTAACGCTCCCTGCTGGGGTCAGCGGACACATGCTTCCCACCAGTCTTCCTCAGTTTCACCCTATAGTAACCCAACTTTGGAGAGCTTCAGTTGGATCAGACTTGCCTGGTTCATACCTGAGAGGGGGGGTGTGGATTGAGAAACAGTTGATGATGGTACTAAGGAAAAGATAGACACACATAATAGAGTTTATTCTTCAAAATTCTTATATACCCCAACCAAAAAGGGGAAGAATTCTTTATCATGATACAAGAAACAGATTTTCTTCCCTAATTCTCCAAGATTTAGTAACCATGACTTAGACTAAATCTCTCAGTATTTGGCCTTGAGGGTTAAGAGTAACCACACCTTATACCAAGTCTTTGGTTATTTAGGTAAGACATCCATACTTAAGACCAAACATCCTTCAGTAGCCACACCTTAGACTTTTATTTAGGTCTATAAAAGTCCAACTTTGGGAGAGTAAGGATATTTTTTAACTCTTCAACTTTAAGCCAAGATGAAGGGAAGCCATTTTTATGGACCCCAGCATCGCCGTATGTGACAAGAAATGCTTTTGTTATAACACAAGTTTTATTGGAACATGCTATACCCAGTGCTGGGATAGATGGACCACAGGCTCTCTGGGCTGCCGTGATAAGGGTAAGTAACCTCACATCTCCATCTCCTCCAACTAGTATCCATTGCCTTACTGTGCTCCCCTCTGCCCTAGAGTGTTACCCACCTAAGGTGTGTTTCTTTTTTTTCTTTTGCAAACTTTAGGTCGAATTTTTTTT